TATATATATAAATATTTATATACACATAGTCAAACCCCTTTATACCGCCTACATATGGACGAGAATGTAGTTGGTGGTACAGCAGGACTGGCGGTATAACAGGTTAGCAGAAATTGCCATCTTGACTTTAGGTAAACAGAGAGACTAGAGACAAACTATGACCAGCCTTTACTCATCTAGATCCGTCCCGCGTGATTGCAATGCGCAGGGGAAAAAGCTGTTATCAACAAATTACATGCACAGTTCCAGCTGAACTTTATGTAAATTCAGATTGAAAATGTCTACCGGATCATAAATTAAGCCTTATGATCATGCAGACGTGCCCATTTTTAGAGTGTTTTTTAACCGATACTCGTTTCTTCGAAGTTTCTGCAGGTCACTGTAAGATTTCAAATTCTTTCTTTTGGTTTATATTTATTTTCCAAGGCCTAAAAATAGTTTTACTTTCATAAAGCCCAAATCAGGAGAACATCGTTGAAAAACGTTAGGAATAGGCCAAACTCGCAGAGATCTAGACTCCATGTGGTAAAGAGATTACTAAGCAAAAACCGATGCGTGCCGTGCGCCTTGTGTAATGTGTAGGCCTACCTCCGGCAGCCAGTTCGCTGGCGATATAACATGACAAGTTTAGTTTAATTTACATTTCTTAGGTAAGGACCTACAACTCAGACAGCGGGAGTCGGATGGCGGTGTAAGGGCGCAAATACTAGGCTATGTTTAAATGGGGTTCCTTTTCATAGATTTGTAAATCCTGGCGATAAGCAAGGCTGGCGGTATATGATTTATTTCTAGCAAAACATATAGAGATAGATAGATAGATAGATCGATACACATGTGTGTACTTGTAGTGTGTGTATTCGTGTCCGACAGATAACTACGGCAAAGCGACAGGCAAGACTGTGGATATGACCAAACTGCCAATATCCGACCAGGCCAAGAAGACGGTGCGGCCCTCTCCTGGACGACCGCCAATTCATAGCCCGCAGGAATGCGCTAGGTTAGTAGTGATTGGTGTGGTTTTTTTATTGAAACTGTATAACGCCACTATTGTTTACATCATGAAAGAGGCTGCATGCTCAAACTCTGAATGTCAGAGCCAACACGCCCTTAGAAAGATTCAGCTTTACCTCATAAAATGGGCTTCCCCGATAAAAGAGCTGAACATTGCTCTTTTACGTGCAATGGCGAGAAGCCTATCCCTCGTAAGTCGCCGTGTGTAAGGCCAGTGCCCACTTCCCTGTCCGCAATGCTGTTCGTGTATGCATATACACGAAGTCCCCCTTTGAGGTATTCCAGCGGGCCCAGATAGAGAGCATCCACGCTATCCTACTGCGTTCCCAACTCCGGTGGGGTAGCTAGGTTACCGCATAGACGACTTTTGCCTCCCAAAGAGATTACTCTATGGTGAGCTGATTTCAAGCAAATGCTCTCTCGACGCACAGAAAAAAAACGCAACAAAGATGCGCTGAAGGCATTACTGGAGCAATGCAGCATTCCCCACACATTACTTACTTTTACTTTTACTTTTTTATCCTCTGTTACCGTTAAGCGTTGAGGAGAGATGCAGTTTTCTATGGTAGGCCACCTCCGCAGCTCTTTCAGTTGTGATGTAATGTTTTCTTTTGGTTTCCTTGACATCCTCGATCCACCTTTTGCGTGGTTTTCCTCTTCCTTTATAGCCTGAGTGCTTAGTGTTGTAGGCTCTCGAGGCTGGCTGGTCAGTTGACATGCGTAACAGGTGGCCAAACCATTTTATCCTCTGTCTTTCTATGTAATGCAGGCGGGACTCAGTGCCGATAGCTGCTCTTACTTCTTCATTTCTTTTTTTAGTTTAGTATAGTTTTAGTAAGAGTTTTACGGCACTTGCAACACAATAAGGTCATATAAGTGCCGTAGAATAGATTATGCGTTACAAGAGAGTAACAAACACAAAAAAGAAGGAGGTGAGATAAGGACGACAGATGTTTGATAGGAAAGAAGGAGCAGACCACACCAGAGCACCCGCCAACCGCCTACTCTTCATTTCTCTGCCTGTCTCCTCTTGTGATGTAAAGGGTTTTGCGGAGACATTTCATTTCGCATGCGGTGATTTTGCTTTCATGGGTTTTGCTTAAAGTCCAGGTCTGGCATTGATAGCATAATGTTGGTTTGAATATTGAGGTGATAAGCTGTGTGTCCATGGAGATGTTTGGGTGAGATAGGAGGGGAGCGAGCTGGAAGGTGACAGCGTTGGCTTTTTGAGTTCGCATTTCTATTTATCTGTTTATGGACCCGTTTTCAGAAAAAGTGCTGCCAGGATATTTAAACTTCTTCACCTGTTTCAGTTGTTTACTATTGACATGGATCGTCAAGGGACTGTGGTTTCGGCTCACTTTCATAACTTCTGTTTTTGATGTGCTTGTTTTCATGTTTGAATTTCTCACAGGTGTTGTTGAGTTCGGTAGTTTGATTTTGGAGGCTCTGTTGGTCATGATGAATAAGACATTGGTCGTCTGCGAACAGAACTTCATTTAGGCTTTCTGGGCTTTGGGTTGTGTCTTGCGTCTTGCGTTATTGTGTCCATATATATTATAAACAGGAGGGGAGATATAACGCTTCTCTGTCGTACTCCAGATCTTACTTTGAACCAGTCTGTATTGCCTTCCATCGTTCTTACTGAGCTTCTGCTGTTGGTATATAGAGCTCTGACATTATCTAACATTTGTCCTCTGACGCCATACTTTTCGAGTGTCTTCCAGAGTTTTGCATGGTTTACTCTGTCAAAAGCCTTCTCCTGGTCTATAAAGACGATGTTGGATTCTTTGTTGTGTTCGATTGTTTTCTCGCATATCTGTTGTTATGCGAATACAGCATCCGTGCATCCTCTTCCCTTTCGGAATCCAAACTGAGCTTTGCTCAGATTTCTCTCTACAATAGGTCTTATGCGCTGCTCTAGTTCCTTTATTCCCCATACTACATGGGAGAAAACAGCTCTAGAGGGAACGATCTGGGGCTCATTAATAACATCTGGAAAGATGTGGAATGATTAAATTCGAAGAGAGGCGCTTCAGATCACAAATCCCCTGCCCCCTGAAACAGACATTTCCGAGTGAGCATCAGCCTGATCACCTATCTCCGAGCACCCCCCCCCCCCAAAAAAAAAGAAGTGGCGTGAAGGTCATCTTTGCCTGCAATTGACAAACAACTCATAAATGATGATCCTTTCAGAAGAATTTAACAACGAAAAGATGAAGATCAGTCCCAGGAGTCAAAGAGAATGCCTGCAGAAGAGAATAGAAGACAACATTCCCCCAAAAAATTGTGGCGTTGGAGGCCTAGCGGTAAGGCTACCGGACTCGCAAACATGAGGTCGCTGGTTCGGGGGTTCAAGCCGCAGGAAAAGGCACTTAACACTCATTGTCCTCAAGATGGGAAAGGATACCCGGCCATAGACAGCGGAAGATATTGTCAGTATGTTAGTGTTTTAACGCCTGTGTGGAAGCTTGCAGTGTACGCTTCCCAGGAAGTTGAGATTATCTAAGAATACTGTCAGGTCAGCTGGGGTAATAGTGTAGATTTTTTAAGCGCATTGAGCTTGCTGTTTGCGCTACACAAATGCTGTCTAGTAGTAGTAGTAGTAGTAGTAGTAGTAGTAGTAGTAGTAGTAGTAGTAGTAATAGTAGTAGTAGTAGTGGTGGTGGTGGTAGTAGTAGTAGTAGTAGTAGTAGTAGTAGTAGTAGTAGTGGTAGTAGTAGTGGTAGTAGTAGTGGTAGTAGCAGCAGCAGCAGCAGCAGCAGCAGCAGCAGCAGTAGCAGCAGCAGCAGCAGCAGCAGCAGTAGTAGTAGTAGTAGTAGTAGTAGTAGTAGTAGTAGTAGTAGTAGTAGTAGTAGTAGTAGTAGTAGTAGTAGTAGTAGTAGTAGTATCAAAATCAAAGTGAGAGAAGGGATAGATGAAGGAAAGTGTAATTAAGATGGTACTGTGTGGAAAGCCTCGTTCTATACGGTCGCAATCACAAAAGACAGTGAAAATGAAATAGAGACAACATAAATGTGGTTTCTAAGGAGACTGTTGAGAATTTCTGGAAAGGAAAAGAAATCAAATGAGCCAGTACTTTAAAAAGCTAACGTGGGCCGCTTGCAGATTAAAACAATAAGGAAAAGACAAATGAATACAGTGAAGGGACACTTGAATCGACATAAAGGCCTTGAATATCTAGCTCTCACTGGCAACTCATTGACGGCAAACGAGGCAACCTACCTGGAGAGCCTAAACAGATTGGTGGCAGGGAAAGATCAGGATAATGTAACTTTTTTTTAGAGCATCCTTCATAGCAATGAATAGAGTACCATGATCGAAAATGCCTGCTGCAGATTTGGCACTTGATAATAGTAAAGAGCTAAGCAGACGTTAGCGAAAAATTTCCCTACAACTTGGGTCTCCTGTGTGCAGCAGTAAAGCGCTTCACCTCTACACCATAAACGCCGGTACTTCTTTCCTATATCCCAAATGTTAGTGTTTGGAGATATATATATATATATATATATATATATATATATATATATATATATATATATATATATATATATATATATATATATATATATAAAGAGAGAGAAAGAGAGAGAGAGAAAGAGAGAGAGACGCAAAAAGAAAGAGAGAGATACTTTCAAAAGTACAACAACAACACATTTACAAAAGAAAAATAGCTACCAACCCCCCCCCCCCCCTAAAAAAAATAATAAAATAAAATAAAATAACAACAAGAAACAAGAAAACAAAAGCAACAACAAAAAACCACCAATAAAACAGTAAGAGAAAAAAAAACAACGACATTAAACACAACAATAGCACATTAGATCTGTCCAACCTCTACGTCATCCTATTAAGTTTAAAAGATTAAAAAAAACAATAATAACATCTACAACCTTCACAAAACCATTAGGTCAGAGATTAGGATCTAGATCTAGATGGATCGAGCATGAAATAGGAATCTGAAAAAAATTCCAGCTAAAGAGATGCCGGTAAGAGAGTGTAAGGGAAGAAGTATGACGGTGCGAGAGTATAAAAGTGTAATTGTAATTGTGAAGTTAATGTTTTACACCCCATCGACACACTTTAGAATATTAAGAAGGCGGGTTGCTGCCTCGGCCATGCCGTTACAGCGGAGAGGGATACAACATTCCCAACAGACAGACAGAAGTATTCGATAAAGCAAGCTTCCCCCCACAACAAAATGGAACAAAAAGCCTAACCGCACACCATAAACGGCAAGTATAGGGATGTGAGGGTGTGAAAGTACAAAATGCTTAACGTAACGGTGGAAGGGTGTGTGGGAATGAAGATGCAAATGTGTGAGGGTGAGAGAGTCAAACAGTGTGGTGAATAACAGTCCTAAACAGTACCTTAGAAGACCTGGAAAAATTAACACAAGACTGTTTTTCTTACAACATCACAAAAAACCTTATGATATTTCTGGCTGGAGGCGGAGAAAATCACCCAGCAGACTAATTGAAGACTTGCGAGCAACGGACGGTTCGTGCCAGAGGCTTGCGAGCAGGCTTGAGCTTTGCCCGCTACCGGAGTTGCTACTCGTGGACAGCGGACGGGCTTACTGATTTGGGTCGTGACGTCACAAACTCATGTTTACTGAGCGCGCGATACTTCTGCCCGCGTGCCGCACGCTGACAAGCCCTAAAAAACCCTCACACTTCCAGCGATGGCGCTGTTTGGGGAGGGGAGGGGGTGGTATGGCTGGGAAAGCGAGAGGTGTTCGCCACCCCTCTCTTTCCGTAGAACCCGCCCCTCCCCTTACGCTTCCAGGTGTGACAGGGTTTTATTTGTCTTGTTTTTCTGGAGGGTTTTTTGGTTCAGTTTTTTGTTGATTAAAAAAAAAAATTTGGGTGGGGGGGGGATTATGTTTTTCTTTATTGATTTTCTGGGCGTATTTCGACATAATAATTAATATTTGTATGATAGAACATGCACAATACATACATAATATACAGTGCAGCAAGATGCTTTTTAAAAGTTATAGGCCTACAATGTAATTAACAATGTGATATAATTTACCTTAACAATGGTCTTCTGATAGGGAAGCTGTCAAATCAAAAGTTTTGTACATTGTTCAGAAACAAAATCACGATTGTCATCCCCCCCCCCCCCTCTCCAATGCTTTCTCTTCAACTTCAACTTGTTCTAAGTGTCGGGGTGGGAGTGGAAGTGTAGTTTAGGTGAGTGATTAAATTACAAGCCACGGGATGCTAACAATACTGATTTATTTTGTCAGTTAAAAATTGTTTGTAAGTGTTCACACCTTTATTCTGCGTCCTAGATAGTTTAGCATACCTCGACCCCAGTGCTTTCTTGTCGTATCTCCATTTTTAATACCACTGAAAACAGCTCATAACAAAATGTGAGCCTACGAAGATGTCACATTTTCACTGTTAAAGCACCGAGGTCACGAACGGTCTGCACTAGGCTATTACATACAACCCTCTTCGCCTTGCACCTAAAACCAGCGCAGCCTCTCGCTTCCTCCACGTCCAGAGTTCAGAGTTCACGCCGCGAGCGGGGTGGATTACCGGTAGATCTTGCGGCTCGGTGCAGACGAGCGGTGTTGTACTGACGAGCGGTGTTGTACTGCCAGGGCGGTAGTTGGACTCAAAGCAGATTTATTGGCACGAGAGCAAGCCCTTAGCACAAAGCAATACGAGACGCAAAGCAGGTCTTGGGACCAAGTGCTTTACTCTGCTGCGATTTGAGTCTTGCCTGCCGTCCGCTGCTCGTGTGCCTTCGATTAATCGAACAGACTAGTTTGTGGCGCAGTGACACTGTGCGCGGGGTCTCTCTCTCTCTCCCCCCCCCCCCCTCTCTCTCTCTCTTTCTGACGTTAGTGGTTTCGCGGATTGCAAGCAGGGGGGGGGGGAGGAAGAGGGGGTCAGACACGAGTGGCTTCGCGGATTGCAAGTTGGTGTGGGTACTTGAAGCTTAGGCTAGACTCAACGTATCATGCTGGTGATTTGATTTGATGATTTGACCTAGTGATTTGAGGCTTATGACTTGAACTAAGGGCTTGCGAGCACGAGCGTGTTTGCTACCGGGGTACCCAACTGACGCTGAGGGAGAGCCCTTCTTGGTGGCCAATACACGAAACCAAGATGCAAGAGGCGAATGATGATCAGCAAAAAGAGCTTTTGTCTGCTTACTTCTTTATTATGCCCATTCGGAAGTCAGTTCAACATAATAGCTAAATGTCAGGTCTTGGGTCATGACTTTTGTCGGTACAGTGTCACTTTTGCGACTGTGTAGCCCGTTGTAACGTCATTGAAGTCAAGAAGAGTCTGTCGTTGTCATCCATGGCTCTTCCCGGTTCTATCAGAGAGCTGTGTTAGTTATGGAGTATCAGAGGTGTAAAGCTAATTTGAAGCGCAGAATGGGGAACCCTGATTCGGACCTAAACGAGCCGTCAGCAACTAGGCTTGTGGAGTTTTGGGGAGTTTCTGTACCTTCACACCCACTTAGTATAACTATTTACCTGGATTGTAAATTGAAATCAGTGATCCCACCACAAATGTGACTCTAAAATGTTGAAAGTTTCTTTGTTTTTTCAAGCCATTACCGTATCTATTATGCCTTATACCATGCCTACACAAGCCTATAAATGATAGTTATTCTCACCAGTAGATTGTCATAATACCCACTACTAGATGATTGTTACGCCTACCACTTAATTAAATTACCATTACTCCTACTAGTAGCCGACCGTTATTCCAAGATCAAATGAACGTCATTTCTATCATGAAATGTTATTTGCAATATTTGATCATCAGTATCTACAACACTAGATACTTAACCGTCATTTGCCCTATTAGTTAATATTTATTCCACCGCTAGATCTTTAGGGGGAGGGTTGTTGTTGTTTGTTGTTGTTTTTTGTGTGTTTTTTTGTTGTTGTTTTTCGTTGGAGGTTTTTGTTGTTGTTTTTTGTTGTTTTTTGTTGTTTTGTTTGGGGGGGGGGTGCAACCACTTGACGATCTCTATCTTACTATGATTTTTCAAAAAAGGTAATCTGTTTGCCTTTTCAACCCTCTCCGCTTTGACCCCCACCACCATCCCCACCTCCAAGGACGTGTAACCAGGCCGGATCGGGTTGGTACGATCCAGTAAGACAGTGCGATAGCTTTGACTATTGTCCGGGACAGTGCACCTTTTATTGGGACCACCACGACCTTGACGTACAGCAAAACTACTACCTGAAAAACACAACTGGATGTGATCACTACCACAGTGAGTTCTCATGCTAGATAGAAAGCCTTAAAACTCTCCATCTACGTGATTGTGTTTATGTAGTGGCGTCTGAAGAAGAAGAAGAAGAAGAAGAAGAAGAAGAAGAAGAAGAAGAAGAAGAAGA